TCTCGTATTGATTATTCCTCGTTTTTGCAGGGTTAATATTGTAGGCACCTATTTACGTACAGTATTTGTAATATTATTATTATGTGCCCGAGTGCAACCTCGTCACTGCACCGGCGGGAAAATAAAAAGCAAAGGCGTCCCGAGTTCCGCCCAACAAATCAACCGAAGGTGGCGGCGGCCGCGTTTCGCAGTGAAATATAATATAATATATTATGCTCAAAGGACCTCACACGCGGGAAAAACCGGCGGCGGTCCCGCAAAAGCGGACTGCGGCCACACTATATATATATCCGCCACCCCGCGGCGACCGGTTCAGTCCACAACGGCCGTCCGTCAAACGCACATTCGCTCTACTGTGCGTACTGTGCGTATCCAGGGCGCCAGCAGTCGGCACACGATCAATGCCCGCCGAACAACAATACATCGTACTATTATAATGGACGTTGTATGGCGTTAATTGTCAGTGTCACAGAATAAAATATTATACTGCAATACGTTTGACGAAAAACAATACGAGGCGTCGTCGCAATGATGTATAATATCCAGCGCGACGGTAGTGGCGCGAAGCTAAGTAAAAAAAAATAGTGGAGTAGCCACTAACGTACTATAATAACATGACACCGAGTTTTAACATTGAAAAATCGTCCTAATTTATGTCAATTCTTTGCACAGGGCAAACGGCTGAACATATAAAGTCGTATGAGCTGGTATCAATCGATCATAAATATTGTGCAGATGAGAACAGAGGAATTCGCTAGCAGATTGGTTAGATGGTTTATAAGTTATAAGCAAAAATGTTCAAGTACTTTTAAGACCGATTTTACGTACGGAACAGTGCGGATGGATAAGCGGTGGGTCGGGGAACGAAAATATCATAGATAATAGAATAATATAATAATAACATATTATGTTTAACTTTTTGGCAGGACACAGAAGTATACTTAAATAAATACAATCAAGTAATCACTACAGTATTTACAGTAATTAATAATGCATCAACAATATGTTGACTAAGTATTTAACATTACAATTGATCTTATTTGTCATCATAGGTATTTGTAATATTATAAAATGTAATTTTACTTAATTTCCATATTATATCACGTCTTTTAAATATTTAATCATGACTAATTTTTTTTTTTTTTAACTTAGCTTTTTTTTTACGAAGTGTTTTTGGTGTGATATAGTACAATATGCGTAGTGAGGTACCTAAACCTACACGATAAACATTCGAAACGTGTGAAAAGGAGACCGTATTCAATAACTACGGAGGGACCTCGAGGAGTATACCTGTGTAAGTTTTACTAAACGTATATGTATATATTTTTGGAAGAAATAAACGCCGATAAGAAATAAATTGATGAATCGTAAAAATCTCAAATATCTGGGACGTTCATTAGAGATATTAAATTTAGAACTCTATACATCGTTAAAAAGCACCGAGAGTACAACCTCAATATTGACAAAATACTTATTATCTGATCACGATAGATCCTCTGTGTTATAAGTTATATAGGTTATAACATAATTATTGTACTCACCTACCTACTGCGTAGTATAATGATTCGCATCATCTATAGTATATACAGTAGGAAGTAAACATTAGTTTTATGAAACAATTCCGAAAAAAAGATATTTTATTTAATAATCAAAATATAAATTTTATTATAATACTATATGATAGTTTTGAATATTTTGAAATATATAAAATTACAAATATTAATATATTTGGTTTAAAATTTTAAATTATTTTATTTTTTATTTATATTATTGGCGCTTATGTCGTATTATAATCTCTATGATAATAGGTTTTTGGACTGATCTCTATGAAGACGACGGTAGATATTTGTAGGTACCTAGGTAGAGAAAGGGCGATGACAATCTATTATAATATACTATGGGTTGATTATTTTTGACGAGAGCAGGGTTGGAGTGCCTTCGAGTAGAATTTTCGATCTAATGAATTTTTGCAAATTCATCGGCTGTTTGTATGATTTTAAATTGCTGCTGAGGGCAGCGTGCCAGCGTCTGTCGTATACCATGCTGCACCTGCAGTAATATGTCCAATTATAGGTGAACTTGATGGACATGTTGTATTGTATACATTCGATAAACGTTATCACTGGTTTGGCAGGGTTCCATATGTCGATTCCAAGTGACCTATACTGACACAATATAATTGTATGCAAATTTAATAATTATAATTATATTTTTCATTTTTGTACCAGCTACTGCGTATGTAATTTTTTAAATTTCAACATAAAAATATTATTTTTGTTTGATTCCTTAAAATATTCCTGTATTGTTTTACCAATCGGATATTTAATTCTCCGCCACGACCTGATGACCCAAACACGCCCTGAAGTCAAAAAGTATTAATGTATTAAATCAAAAGTATTAATGCCGAACTTAACCCCGTAATTGTACTAAATTATAATATTGCGTGTTAATTAATATTTCTTGCCCCCCCCCCCCCACATTTTAAACTAAATATACACCAATAAAAAATCTTTTTAAAAAATTCTTATCACCTTCGTAAGATGTAAAAAATTCCATTTCTGTACTAGTTTTTAATTGTTCATTATTTTACATTTTCAGCACATATTATACTTATTAATTCTATACCACTATTATATACAGTAGAAACTCCAGTACATACAAATATAAATATAGAATACACGTACAGAAATATTCAGTCACGATTAATAAAATAATGTTCACGTCTTAAAATCCATTCACCTGGTCCAAAAATTAATGGTTCGTAACAACAAAAAATAACAACACTACAACAGGTAAGCTATATTATAGTTGCTTCAGAGCTGGTAGTGGAAAACAATAAAATGTTATCTACACTTACCACACATATCACATAATATACAATAAAGTAGTTATATACTATATACATATATATATATTATATACTCCGCATAACAGGAATAATAATTACTAGAGATGTTCCGGGTACCCGGCAATTACTCGATAGCCGGGTACTCGATATCATATTTAAGACTCGACTCTTACTCGGTACCCGGCGTAATACCTACATTTTTACCCGGCCATTACTCGGTACCGGCGTAATATCTTCATTTTTACTCGACTCATATCCAATGGCAAACTCTGATAATCTATTTATAAATATATGCATACCTATAATTAATATAACGGGAAAAATCTAAAATTGTCGGGTGATAAATTATAATTTATTTTGGTACATATTGAAATAACTGAACCGAATTACAATAGCCAGATAATTATAAGCAAATCATGTTTTTCATCTACAAATTACAAAAATAAATCTAGCGTGTTTTCTGTCTAATGTTTATAAATTTGATTCTTGATACTTTGATAGTAGTATAATACACATTTTGTATTTACAGTTCTACTCGGCCTATACTCGATACCCGGTTAGTGTTAAAATTTTTACTCGGCCAATACTCGATACCCGGTTAGTGCTATAAATTTTACTCGGCCAGTACTCGGTACCCGGCTTTATACCAGATTTTCTACTCAGAACATCTCTAATAATTACATTATAGTTCTTTTATTTTCATCGTTGGTTGACTCAAGGAAGAAAAGTGGTTTTTTTAAAACCTATTTTGAGTTTATTACTTTCACAAAGATTTTCTGTACCGATGAAAATATTGGCACAGATGAACAAATTAAAAAATTTAAATTGTTTTTTTTGTGTACTCAACTCCAATCACAAATCAACTAAACAATTTCTTTTAAAGTCAAGTCGAAATCAATAATGTGTGTAACATTATCAATAACGAATACATTTTATTGTTATTTTGAATTCACCGTATGTCCGTAAGCATCGAACAACTGATACAACAATTTTTAATCGTCAGTACATTTAAAAAAAAAGGTATTTACACCAAAGGTCTAGAATTGAAACCGCTGTTTTGGACAAGTACAATATTTGATTTGCAAAGCCACAAAGGGCCATCAGTAGTTTGTTTCGTGGTGTAATAGGAAAACGTCCAACGATAGTATACTCAAAATGTGTAGTTATGGAATATTAATAAATCTTGCCCGTCACAAAATAGTAAAATTTAAACGATACCTATGTATTTTTATCAAAATAGATATTATATAATGTTACGAAGGCGTTATATTATATTCGCTTCAATCGATGTAATATTTTAATGTTGAAAAGGTTCGTGGACGGGGAAATAAATTATGTAGCGCGTTGAATAATTTCAGATGTAAATCAGGTTTTTTTTTGTTCAAAACAGTAGGTATTTTTTGTTTTAACGAATACATTATAAATAACGCCACAACGGTCGTTATTATATAAAGGGTGATTCACCAAGCATACTCACCCCTCCCCCCCATTTCCCCCTTTAATAACAGATTTATTCAAATTTGGACTTTTAGAGTTTTTTATTTCGGTTTATTTTTTATACTGTTTAAGAAAAGTCCATTGGTAATACAAGACTTTCTTTTTTCAATGGGAACCACCCAATTTTTTTGTAAATTGATAAGCAGATGACTTAATTAAAAATATTTTAGTACCTATACCTATATATCGAAATTTGAACGAGTATTGTTCTTGAGTTGCTTAGTTTTGTATATAATTGAATTGATTTTTTATTTTGAAAAACACAACAACCAAAAGCCTTCTCTGATGAGTCGGTTTGAATTTCAAATGAATCATTTAAATTAAAATTATTTAAAATAGGTGATTCACAAAGTATCTTTTTAATTTTCTCAAAAGCTATATTTTGATGAACTGACCATTCTCATATTACATCCTTTTTTAGTAGCTCCCTAAATGGTGTAACTAATTCAGAAAGATTAGGTATAAGTCCTCGCAAGTAGTTTATCATTCCTAAAAATGACTGTAATTGTTTTTTATCATTTGGTTCTTTTAACTCTCAAATAACTTTTATCCTGTCCTCATCAGGCTGAACATCCTCTTCACTGAAATTGAAACCTAAAAATTTAACTTTATTAACACAGTACTGCAATTTGGTAGGGTTAAACCTTATATTAAATTATCTTGCCTTACTTAAAACTATATTCAACGCATTATCATGTTCCTCTTTTGTGGCTCCTGAGATAAGTATGTCATCAAAATAAACATTAACATTTTTTATATTACCAAAATATTTAAAAGTTAGTTCTTGAAATTTGTCAGGCGCTGACGCTAATCCAAAAGGTAATCTTAGGTACTTATAAGAGCCAAAAGGAGTACTAAAACAGCAATAATTTTGGGAATTTTTTTCTAATTTACACTGGTGAAAACCATCTTTTAAATCCAATAAAGTAAATATTTTCTTATTACATAAATCTAATTTTATTTCTCCCAGGGTTGGTATTTGAAACGTTTCTCTGATAATATTCTTGTTGAGCTCCCTCGGATCCAAGCATACTCTCATACTTTTATTAGGTTTTTCTACTATTATTATTGGACTTTGCCACTCACTAGCCTCTTTACATTTTTCTATAACTTTTAACTTACACATGACTTCTAAAGTTTCTTTTAGTTTATTAATTATTTTGTAAGGCGAAGAAAACACTGCAAGATTCAACTGGATGAAAAATGGATTTCAACAAACCGGCGCCCTTAAAATTAAATGGTAATTTAAATGACAATTTCAAATTATTTAAGCAAGAAATTCAAATCTATCTTGTGGCTACTGAGACCAATAAGAAAAGTAAAGATGTTCAAGTGGTGCGTTTATTGAATTTACTTGGGCCGGAGGGTTTGAAACTCTACAACACTTTTAGCATTGAAGTGATTACTGTTGAGAATATACTAAATTCACTTGAAGAATATTGCGTGCCTCGCAAAAATGAAATTATGGAACATTATAAGTATTTAACTCGAAAACAAGGAGAAGATGAAATGTTTGACAAGTTATACGTTGATCTTCGTGAGCTAATCAAATCATGTTCATTTGGTGAAACCGAAGATGCACTTTTACGTACTCAGATTGTATTGGGTGTATTTGATAAGGAACTTCAGTCCAAATTGCTGAGAGAGAATTTATCTCTTAGTAAAGTAGTAAAATACTGTCAAGCAGTTGAACAGGCTGAGTTACATCGTCGACTAGTTCAAAATGAAAAACCCAACCTCGATCAAGTTTAAAGTTTCACTGGTCTATGATTTCGGTAGAACCACAGCAAAACAATCGTCTTACAATTTTTTTGGTCCTCCTCCAAAACGAACGGCATGGAACCGGACGTCCTCGTTCAACGGCAGTTACATCCGTATTTTTCGCGGTGTTCAAATCCGGAAACTCCGTCTCGCCGGACGTGGCAGGTGGCAAATCCGGAGCATCACCAGCTGGAATCACAGCGATATCCGTCATACAATCACGTGTCCTGCCCTCCCGTGAATCCTCGGAATCAAGATGTTCCGGTATGCAGATATCGCCGGCGACCTGAGGAAACATTCGATTTGGCTTGGATGCGATCTCTGCAAGACCTAGAGTCTCGACATCTGAATCCGGACGCTCGGGGTTGTTGGGCACAGATACAAATATCGGCGTCGATATGTCGATCGCAGGAGACTCGCACGGCTGTAGTCTTGTTTCCAACTCCGGATCACTAACGAGACACGATGGTAACGGCGGTCTATTAGTATATTAATATAATTTCTTACCTGTGTACAGTGGGCAAGTATTGAGTATCTTCATTGAGGCGAGCTCAGGAGATAAAAGTCCACAGAGCGAATGAACTCAGAACAAGAAATTGAATTCTCAGGTGGTTCAATGATTTTAAACACTTTTTAATTTGAATAAAACAGTTTTTATTAAATCTCGCAATAAGTAGTAACAGTAATAGTATCTAAGTTAAGGCTTAGTATTCGTAACTAGTTTTGAACATAATGTGCTGTGCGAGACAGGCTTAGCTTCTAGGAACAGACCAGGGTCGAATTGATTAGGCGAGCTACCGAGAAAATCTCGGCGGACCGATTACAGTTTGGGCCAGTCGTGGGAGTGTGAGTGAAAATAAATTCATGTTTAACATACGATTGGCCACCTATAAGCTCGTAATAATAATTATAGACGTAATTTTGGCCACTAAATATGTAAATGGGTGGCTTATAAAAGTGGTGAATGGGTCAGCCTAAGGGCTTATTTATACTTTATTTATAATCAATGCTTAATGCTTAATGCTTATAGTTAGATAATAATGACTATCGGACTATTGACTTTTATTTATTTATTAAAAGTATTGTTGAGTTTGAGTATCTATAACTATTATACCTATTATTATGTTTATTAAACCTACCGAATGCAGTGGTGCCCGATAGGCTACGGTGAATGGTGATGCGTAGTTAATACCTAATCAATAATTTCTCATAAAAACTGTTTTTCTCTATAACTGGTAATACTGATTTGCTTACATTATTGAGTTACATGGATAGAATAGGTTGATCTATAAATATAAGTACAGCTAATTATCAGCTTATATTTTCTTCTTAATTTGTAATTTGTATGTCTACACCGATACCGTATTATTACCGACCGTTTTATAATTTTAAAATGCTCATAGGTCCCTTTAAAATTAAAGAATAAAAAACATTATATCATTCAGTAGATAATATTATTATGTTTTTGTATATAATATGGTAATGGGTCAATTTAGTCTAAAATTAAACCAGTAGAGTTAAACGAATTATTTGGTAAGTACAATTTGGCAATTTGCTATGTTATGCGTTTATATGTCAGAGACAACTCTAAGGGAATGGCATAATAATGTTCAAAAAAAATTCATCAGATTGACAATTTAAAGTAAAAAAGTTGGTTCTTATTTGAAAAAAATAAGTTTTATCATAATGTGATAGAATATTATATATTTAAATGATACAAAAAATCTAAAGAATTTGAAAATATATTTTTTTTGTATACTTCAAAGTTCCAAGAAATACAATATAAATAAATCCATTATTAAATGAAAAAATGGAGTTTTCACTCTGTATATTTTATATACCCATAATATTTAGAAGCGAACCACAGTGCAGGTAGCGATGAAGCTATTATTATTACGTCTGCTGTATTATTACCTATACGAAAAAAACGTAAGCGAAACGAAAAATAAAGTTCACACGTGCCGAAGATATGATGATTGAATTACATGACAAGAGTGAAATTGGAAAATAATAACACGAAGGAGGAGCTCTTCGCGGTCGGTTTTATGTAGTTTTGGCGAAAGTTCTGAACAATTTCTCGAAAACTCGCACTCAACGAATACAAATACGTTTGCATGTATCATATTATTATGTACTCACATAACATTATATGTTATATTCGGGGCATAGGTGAACCACTCGATATAAACTTTTTACTACAAATATGGAAAAAAAAATAATTATAATTATATAATCGTAACTTTAGACGTCATACCGAGGCGTACAATAATATTAAAATTAATAATAATGATAATTAAATAATTATACGAGTCAACCCGCGATGTCATAAAATTATTATGAATAGGTAAACGTCGAAAACCATCATATATGTTGACCCGAGACCGAGCGGACGATTCACAATAATATACCTATGATATGGGTACACCCACCAGCTACAACAAGCGAGTTCGTTATACGAATTAGGTACGGTGTTATTATAATATAGAGATGGTCTTCGTATAGAGTTGAAGTATAAGTTCGCTGTGGTAATAGATAAAAAAAAAAAACGCGTTTCGGCGAATTATAATTACAGAAAATCGGTACGCTCACCAAAATCGTCGAAAAAGCGTTCGACATGATATAATAATATTATTATCTGCGTACAAACACAATTTTTTTTAGGACTGCAGCAGAGTAGTATATAATATTATGCTCTCACGCTGGCACGAGCTAATCGAAATGTCTATTTTCGCCAGCGGGGACGGACACAAACGCGTATATCCGGCCGTGTAGTGCCTATATTGAAACGTCACTGTATAATGACGTTATTTCGAATAGAATAATAATAATAATAATATATATTTTTGATTCGCGTCCCCTACATATAGCCGACGAAGACGCGACCCTCTCGTTCAAAACGCCGATGGAAATGAACGTTTATTTATACCGCGGCCGAAATCAAAACATGCACATGATATTCCCCCTAATTTAGTGTTGTAGCCAGGATTTTGCTTTGGGGCAAATGGTGGCTGATGATTTGTTGTATGCAGGGGAGGCTCAATATTATTATGATAACTCATCATAGGTTTGGTTATAGGTTAGGGCCGTCTTAAAATTTTAGACTTTTGCAGAAACCTTCATACAAATATTAAATGCTTGTATAATATTATGGTTTACAAAATCATCAACATCAAACATGAGTACACAGCAAACACTATAATAGAATCGATCGCTGAGTGCATATATTATTATATTACTAGCTGATCCCGTGCACTTCGTTGCCCGTAAAAATTACAACTTTTAAACAAATTGTGATTGTTCAACTCATTTTGTTTGCATCTCGCGCAGCCTCCTTGGTAAACTACGTCGGATAGCGGACAATGTGCGACAGAATATCAAGTGAAAAATGTGCAAATGTGGATTTGATGCATGCTTGCACCTGATCTGCCCGATTAACCAATAATGGCAACCATTATTTATAAACAAAAATTTCCACCTTAAATTTCAAAATCCCTTTTTGAGCACCTCCGGCCCAGGTATGAGGGTGAAAAATACTTCACGACCTATATTAGACCTACAAAATATACAAAAGTGGAATTAAAATCGGTAGAGCCGTTTCAGAGGAGTACGGCCAAAATCATCGTGACACGAGATTTTTATGTATTATAATATACACAGGCGGTAGGTAGTGGAATTATACTACAAACGCGCATATACATAGGTTTTTTTGGACGTTCTGGCGCTCATATGAAAACTGTGATTAAATAACCGAAAACGAAATTTATTTGGCCATACGATTTTTGTTTTATACTGCAAAATAAATAAATCGTACGTGACGTATACCGCATAACGTGTATTATTGTATTGAGCTCAATCCATCCTATAGAAATCGGTCTAAGGTCGCAGGAATCCGCAGGTGCGTTTCGCCGCTGTTTCGCATTGTCGGCTACCACGATGACGGAAACCCTGAAAAATCGACACTATATTCAAATGATTTATTTTAGTGAACTGTTCAACGATCAGTGATAGAGAGATGTTAAATAAACATTGTAACCGTTTAAATTATTCACAAGCATATAGTTTAATGTTGAACCAGTCCTTATTTAAATACTTTTTGACATGTGAATTTTAAATACTTTAAAAATACTATTTCTTTGTATTTTATTCCAGTATACTATAAATACCTTTTTTTATATTTTAAAAATTGTTCTTAAAATAATATTTTCTAGGTAATGCTTCTAAGAGCTTATAAGATTTCATCAAATTATCAGATGATCCAGTAACTACATTTTTTCAATTGTTTTATCAATTTTAACTTGACTTGATTAAGGTTGTATATGATGTGACATCTGAAATTGTTGAACCAATTAGACAATGTATTTATTAAATATTTCGATCAAATATTTATTAACAATTTTATGTATGTATGTATTATTATATTCGTTATAAACGTACAAAATATATTTGAATATAGGTACTTACAAAAAAATTAAAAGGGTTTGTAAAGTATTTTGAATACTTTTAAAATTTATATTAAAATACTTTTGAAATACAGTTTTTGAATATATATTGCAAACACAAATAACACCAAGTATTCTAAATATATTTCAAAATTATTGAAAAGTGTGATTAGCTTGTGTGTAAATTGATTTGAAATGGGTAGTTATAACTTATAATAAATAATTTTTTGTCATTTTAGTAAAATATATACCATATACCTACCTAGTGCAGTTAAGTATTACCTACGCTAACTATTATATAATAATTTTATTTTAATACATAGGTCACACAATAATATATGGTAACGAAAATAATTATTATAGGAAATTATTCAAAGCAAGAGCTATAAAATATATTCCACCCGTTGTATGTACCAATATGGCAATATATAAAAATACATATACTGTATGTTCGTACAAATTAATCATTATAATATCAAAAAGCATTGTGTAGGTATTTACATAGAAATAAACATACGTCATAATATAACCATTAGGTATACTTAAAGATTGTACAATATATAATATTATATTCAATGTTATAATTAGGGCTCGGAACTTAATGCACTTAAAAAGTACTAAATATGCATGCACTTATGCGCTTAAAAAAGTACAAATATGCTCTAAAAATATGCACTTATATTTAATTATTTTACACAACATTTTCATTTGTACAAATATTTTTTTTAAATTTGTAAATAAAAAAAAAAGCAAAGTAATATAAGTTATTATTATTTATATTTTTTAATCATAATTTAAACAAAAAAATAATAAAAAAATCGCTTTAAAAATTAAAAATGTTCCTTGAATAAAAAAATGCACTTCTGTCGAGTTATATTTATATACCTGAAATACCTAAAATCTATAAATGCCATTAACAATAGTCAATAATCATTGAGTTATTTTCCTATAAAAGTATTTATAGAAAATCGTCGTATTTCAATAGTAACTGTTTCTATTTTAGATTTGTATAATATT